GATGCAACCCCAGCGACACAGAGCTTGAGCTGCAAGATTCTCCGCCACCTTCCGCCGTAGATTGGGTGGAAACAGGCCAAGACATGGAGTGCCTCGTCAATATAGAAGAAGGAAACAGAGAGAAAGAAGATGAATCGTCGTCGTTGTGGAGTGTGTTGTGGGAATGGGGTGTGTTGGTGTCGCCGTTCTTTTTCTGGGGAACTGCGATGGTGGCGATGAAGGAGGTGCTTCCAAAATGTGGACCGTTCTTCGTTTCAGCGTTTCGTCTCATACCAGCTGGGTTCCTTCTTGTTGGCTTCGCTGCTTCAAGAGGAAGGCCTTTCCCTTCTGGCTTCAACGCCTGGCTTTCCATCTCTCTCTTCGCTCTCGTCGATGCTGCTTGCTTTCAGGTTCATTTCCTTTTCTCCTTTCACTCTCACTAATCTTTCTCTTTACTGAATGCAATGCTTATTGGTTTGATGTGTCATGTAACAGGGTTTTCTTGCTGAAGGGTTGCAGAGGACTTCTGCTGGTTTGGGCAGCGTACGTTGGCAGTTAATTTCTTACTCAATTTATTATTATTATTATTTTTTATATATATATATATATATATATGAGAGAGATCATTTGATCTACCCATCCTAGTCGTTGATTTCCGTCCATCCAACGGTTATAGTTTACGAAGTTATATTAATTAATTAATTATAAATTACACTATAATTGACAACCAATGATTTCCGTTCATCGACGGCTGAGATGAGGAGTAACACTTAAAAGTCTTACTCTGGAGTCAAAAGAACTCTCTCCGGGGCTTAGCCCCTCTTTATTTACAAAAAAAAAAAAAAGAACCCTCTCCATATATATATATATCACTCGTTATATGCATGTGTATTTACTAGAGATAAGGGCAACTTTATGTTATAATGTAGTAGGTCTTACCTTACATTGGAACACTGACCAAAATGCCACTGTTCACCAACTTTTTTACCTAAATGTCACGCGAACAATGTTATTTCTCAATCTGCCACGGGGGCAAGTTTGCTACCCGGTGTAGCGAACTCGGTTTGCTGACGTGTCACGTTTCTAGTGGACACCAACTTGATTTTAACCAAGTTTGCCTACATGGTAGGCGACCTTCATTTTTTTATTATTATTTTTTTAAAATTTGATACTTGTTATCCATTAAAAATATGACACGTCAGCAAACCGAGTTCGCTACACAGGGTAGCGAACTTGCCTCCGTGGCATATTGAGAAATAACACTGTTCGCGTGGCATTTAGGTAAAAAAGTTGGTGAACAGTGGCATTTTGGTCAATGTTCCCCTTACATTTGCTACAGAATCTGTGACCGCTGAATCACATGACATGGCAACAACACTAATTTGCATGCCTCCCCTTCCTTTGCTAGAGACTAGAGTATAATTTTTATTTAGGGCACAATGGATGACTCAAGTTTAATGTTGAAAATCGGTGAAATTACTCTATAAAAAGCTGTCTATTTATCATAGTGATAGAATTGAATAGAATGGCATTACAGTTGAATTGTTGAAATTTGCTTTGAGTGAACTTTTTGTTGATTCAAATTCTACCCTTCCAAATCTGACAAGAAGAATTGTTGCTTGATTTGATGATCTACAGTGGATGTATTGCAGGTTATAATTGATTCACAGCCTTTGACAGTGGCTGTACTTGCAGCTTTATTATTTGGTGAGTCCATCGGGATTATTGGAGCTGCTGGGCTTGTGCTTGGTGTCATAGGACTTGTGCTACTCGAGGTAAACTTCGGCTCTGCATTTAATTTTATTTTTAACCAATAAACAGTAAATTAGTTATCATACCCTTTTCAGGGTAACCCAAGATTGGCAGTCAAATTCTTATATATCTAATGTGAAAGATATCAAGGATATGTTTTGAAATAGTTACAATCGTCTAGAAGATACAATTACCTCGTTTTGGTTTGTTTTTTTTTTTGAAATATACTATTTCTCTTGGCCTATCAAAATAATACCTTCTATATATTATTTAGTTGTGCAAGCACTAATGATTTTATTGCAGTTACCAGCCCTATCATTTGATGAAAACAACTTCTCACTGTGGGGAAGTGGGGAGTGGTGGATGCTACTTGCAGCTCAGAGTATGGCAGTTGGCACAGTCATGGTTCGGTGGGTCTCCAAATACTCTGATCCTGTCATGGCAACTGGATGGGTGCGCCTTAAATCTCATTTTAAATCTAGTGTTTGTTAGTTTTATGTTGACTACCATTGTTAAATACCTATGGAACTCAACCAAATGATTATTTGGTTAAGCTTAATTCCTAGAAAATAATCCTTTTTCTTTATTAGAAATAAGGCTGTCTCGAGAAGCTGATAAAAAGGCTTTTTTTTTTTTTAGTATTTTCAATCTAAAAAAATATATAAATTTAAATATATTTTTCCATTATATTTATCCTTGCACAGTTTTAATGTGTAATCGTGTGTGTCTCTTTGCTTTACCAGTTTTTTTTTGGAACAAATTGCTTTACTAGTTTTAAACCACACAAAATGGCAATTTTACAAAAGATCTGAAATTGGATATGCTGGACTCTATTTTATGGCTCATGATTATAGATGCAGTATTATTTATTTCAGCAGATGTGTTTGGCATATTATATATTAGCAATAAGTTTGTATCGGAAGGTAGTGAAATGGTATTATATAGTTCTACACTCATATCTTATTGATTATTTTCTCATAAAAAAAAGAAAAAAAAAATCTTAGTTTAAGAAAAGAGGAAAGGGCAGGTGAAAGGAGGAAGCTATATAACAGATGATATCATGGTTTAAGATTTCTGTCGAAGTATAGCCCGAAACTTTACTATCCCATTTCTGTTGCAGCATATGGTTATTGGTGGTCTCCCTCTTGTGGTATTCTCCATTCTTAACAATGACCCTGCTATAAGTGGGAGTCTTAAAGACTACAGTTCAACTGATGTATTGGCACTCCTCTACACATCCATTTTTGGAAGTGCTATCAGCTATGGTGTGTTCTTTTATAGTGCAACTAAAGGTCTGTTTTTCTCTCTGGCGATGATCTTTCTCTTTCTTTTCCTGGCCAATGTATTTCCTTTTATGATCACTTAATATATACAAATTTTAGCTTCCATGTTAAATCCAAAATGGTTCATTTCTTCTTCCATATTGTAAGTACTGTGCTATTGATGCATCTTTACCTATCATTTCTTCTGCCAATGTGTTCTTTTATAGTGCAACTAAAGGTCTGTTTTTCTCTCCAGCCATGATCTTTCTCTTTCTTTTCCTGGCCAATGTATTTCCTTTTCTGATCACTTAATGTATACAAATTTAAGCTTCCATGTTAAATCCAAAATGGTTCATTTCTTCTTCCATATTGTAAGCACTGTTATTGATGCATCTTTACCTATAACTTGTACACTTGCAGCTATGAAGTTTCGTTTTGTTTTTCAAAACCAATATTGATCCATAAAAAATACCATATTGATATTGCATTTGTGATGCACTGCAGGTAGCTTGACCAAGCTCAGTTCACTTACTTTTTTGACCCCAATGTTTGCTTCAATTTTTGGGTAAGGCTGCCTAACAATGGGAGAGAGGCAGAGAGGATTTTTATGCACTTTCAGATTTTTTAAATTATGTAGCAGAGAGAACAATAATCAGAAATAACAATGTATGGTGATATAGCTCTTCTTTACAAGTAAGGTCGAGAAAAAAAATTACCACCTTCTATAACTATAAAATTTTGGAAGAGAATAACAACCAGGTGGCATTGTTCATAATTTATCAGTTTTGTGCCCTTAAGATCATAATTTGTATATTCGGATACCTTTCCAATAGCATTTCTCCTAATAAATCACAGGTTTTCTTTCAAATTTCAGGTTTATGTATTTTTGTCAGGACCTTTCTATGACTCACATTTTGCTTTGGCGTTTCAGGTTTCTATATCTTGATGAGACCTTCTCACCTGTACAACTTGTTGGGGCCATTGTTACTGTAGCTGCAATATACATGGTGAACTTCAGAAACACATCAGAATGAATTGTACAGTCAGTTTTTGACCGGTTCTATCATCCTATTAACCCAATGGAAAACAACTGCTCGGGGAACTAGATGTTTGCCGTGAACTCAAATTGGGAATACTAGTGGCAAGTTTAGATATGGAGAAAAGAAAGCTGTGTGATATACAATCTGGATCACTTGTGATCATGCTTTATAGTGTAAATACAATTTTGGTTAGTTGTTAATTTAGGCTTCGATCCTCTTCCTAGGTAGTATATACCAGAAACTGGGAAGTTACCTTGGCTGAACACAAGCCATATACATGAATGAATTGTTTCCATAAAGGTTGTTGTCCGGCATATATATGATTTTAAGTCAAAAAGAGAAAAAATCTTGATCAATCTTGAATAAAAAGGGCTATAACTACTATTAATTTAATAAATCCTAATCAGTTGTCTTTGTTATGTGATGGCTTTAGTGTTACTTATGACTGAATAAAGAATGTATAGATTATTACTGGTTTATGGCAAGTTTTGTGTATGGTGAATCTGTTAATCACACGAAAGAAATATGCATCTTGGGTCCTAGACTATTCAGCAGGGTAGAAAGTGCTAAAATTTGTGATATAATCGATTTGCTTTGAAATCCAGAGAACGATGTCTTTCTCTAGCATTATGGGAAGAATAAAATATGCAGAAATTAGTATCTGCAGACTGCAATCGATGATGTACCTAATTTAAGCATGTCAGTTGCAGATTACTCGTTCAACTATAATATAAATCTATTCGCGTATCCTACGGAATGATTAAGAAATTATTTCAATCTGTGGTCTGCTGAATCTATAAAAAGAAAGCAATTAGTGTTAATTGTATGATTTAGCAGCAAGAGTTAGCAAATGCAGCACAGCAGCAAACTAGTTAGTTTTTTAGACTAAAATGCGAGAAAAGTCGAAGCAGCCAATTGCGAAAATATTTTGAATTGCAATTTTTTTACACAACTTTATTTTCATCACATTCCCTCCGTTAAGTGTTCTGAGTTGATACAAATGGAGCTGAAAATGACTGATCATCCTACCCTGTCTATGCAATTCTTACTTGAAGAAATAAAAGAGCATAAAGCTACAGGTGAGGAATGGAAAAAAAAAAAAAGTGTTCATATGGAGCTTAAATTAAATGAGAGCTGGTTGCAAAGTGTGCAACTCCCTCCAAATAGAAGAAATGTCAAACTCATGGAGTATTAAAGGTACAAGATGAAGGTGATTTCATTTATCACATCCTATGTGGATGCAGCTGCTGTGACAACAGGTATCGTGTGAAGAACTTTATTGGCACCAAGCCTGCCACGATTTTGATCACACACTCTCCCTTTGTTGTTCAATTTCTTCCTGGCTCCTCCATCCACATCATACCCTGCTTCAGATGACACCATCCCTTCCAAGCCTAATTGACTTTTCTGACCCTCCTCTTTGGGGTTGTTCAATCTTGAAGTCCAGCAATCTTTTGAATCAACAGAATTGGGTTCCCATGAAGAAGAAGAAATGCCCCAGTTCTGCTGACCACTACTGACAGTGAAACTGTTGCTTCCTGAAGACTCTAAATCCTCCATGTCAACCTCACCAAGTGAACCACCCCTATTAACTGTCACATACTTATGTAAGCTTGGTTCCATCACATCATCAATGACAACTAACTCAGTTTCTATAATTGGATCCTTGGTATCTGGCACCCTCTTCCCATAACAATTATTGGCACCCAATGGAACATTATAATCATTCCTACTAGACTGAAAAGCAGGTGGACTTCTCCTGTCCTCTGCACCACAGAAATTTGAGCTGGTATTGGAGTTGAGATCAGCAACAGCTTCAAGGATAGAGCAAGCTTTGGTGACACAAGCTGGGAGAGAAATAGAAGGTGTGTTCTTTTGATGGAAGTTCTGGATATCTTCAAGCAATAGTGAGGTGTAGGAATGTGGAGGAATCAATAGAGCTTCAGGGTTGAGGTCTAAGTCTCTAGATCTCCTAGCAGATCTGCTTCTTGTTAATGTCTGGGGTTTTAGGTTGTCAACCCCAGGTGGTACCACTGTCTTCACAACAATATTATCAGTCATTGAAGACTTCACCTTGTCCTTGACATCTTCCTCTGGCTGAACCTTTGTCTTGTAATTCACACACACACCCTTGTCCAATACAGTTCTGCTGGTATTTGGTTTCTGCATTACATCAACCATATCAATAGGACTAATTACTCAACAAGAAAAGGTCAATTCTTTTAAGCTGGGAAATATCCTGAACCAAACATGAATGAGTGAATACCTGATTAGCTTCTGTTTCAATTTCCTTTTTGGATTTGTTTTGCACCTTGCTGCTGTTATTGTTGGCTGTTGTTTGTGGAAAAGAAAGAGAGTTAGGCTCAACCTCATTCAGTGGGATTCTTCTGTGAGGTGATTGTTCTGCTTTCCTTGAGGAATTGCGGCTAAGAGAGTGTTGTTGCTGATTCTCACCCAATACTTTATTATTAGCAGTTGCTCTTGCAGGGGATTGAGAACGTGGTGAGGCAACACCAACATTTCTCTTAACTGTGATCCTCTTGATACCTGTGTTTGCTGCAGATTCTCCACCACCATTGTTACTCTTATCCATCACAAGGGATGAAACAGTAGCTGGGACAGACACCATTTTTCCAGGCCTAGAACTGGTGTTGCTATTGTTTCTTGCATTGGAAGGTGTGGTAGTCTCTGATGATCTTCTACCAGGAGATTTACTAACTCTTCTCTCTCTGCTGCTGGAGCGTTGATGCTGCTCCCTTTCCCTGCTTGGTGTTCTTCTTCTTCTTTCCTGAGAAGAAGACCTTGGAGACTGGCGGTGCCTCTGCCTGTGTTGGTGTTGTTTCTCTGCTGCAGCCACCCCATCATCATCCTCACACAAACCACTGTTGGTATTTGCTTTCTTTTGGTCCTCATCAGTTGAAATGGTATCATTCTCACAATGATCAAAATCATAACTTCTCTTTGAACCTGAATACCTCTTTCTCCCACCATGTTCTCCAAAAGCAGCTTTATCTGAAGAGCTTCTGCTGAGTCTCCCACACTGTATAAGAATTGCATCCACCTCTTCTTTGGTACAACTTGAAGTCCTCACACCCACACCAATGTTTGCAGATGGTGGAGCAATCTTGTCAACCATTAATTCAGGTGCTTCAAAGGTAGAATCTGGTTGTGGTGCATTCTTCTGAGGTGGGCATTTGGAATTTCTCTCTCTATCATCATGGCTCTTCCTGTGCTTGATGATGAATATCTCCTTTTTCACTTGGTCTTCTTCTTCTTGTACTGACTCATGTTTCTCTTGCTGCACTGTCTTATTCTCCTTCTTCAGTTTCACATCTGGCTCAGTTTCCACTTTGGTTTTGGACACAGTGACACCATTCTTCAGCTCAGGCACAGCAGGTGCTGTGGAAGCTGACTTGGTATCATCAAGAGGGGGGGATGTAGAAGACCCTTTCTTCTTCTTACTCAAACATGTACCCATGGAATTTTGTGGTTTGGCCTAGTGTGAATAGGGTTTGAGAAAGAGATAGTTGAAGAAAAAAAAGTAAGGGAAAAAAATAGTATTAAGAGAGTGTGGCCTCACAAGTCACAACCACAGAAAAAGAAAGAAAGAAAGTAATATTTGAATTACAATTAGAAAAGGGGAAGGCCTGTGTGGAACTCTGCCCAAGAATCATTTTTTTAAAAAAAGATTGTAACTTTCTGATTAATGACAATGAGAGAGAGAGAAAAGATTCAAATTTTGACAAGCGGGCTGCAATTTTGCAACACAGATCCGTTGGAGGGTCTCATCATGTTGTGTCAAATTCAGCTGACCCCACCAAGTCACTAAATTCAATTTCATGACCCCCTTTTTAAGAATAAAATAAATGATATGCCAATTGGAGTTGGACCACAGATTGATGTATATTCCAATGTAACATTCTCTGCTTGCCCTCTATGGATTCAAATTTGTCCAACGGTTATATTCACTTGGATCAACAAAATTTTACCATAACATTCACCATTGCGTTAAATTATGTTGAAGAAATCAGCAACGGCTATATGTGTTTCTGGTTTGGTTTGGTCAGATGACCTACAAGTCTCGGAAAAGCCTTTACCAACCAACCACGTTGCGTGAAGTACAAGAACACATGAAAGGACAGTCAAACTTAAAATTTCACAAGTTACTAGAATCAATAAATTACTTAGATTATCGTTATGTTTAAAGAATAACCCTTGATTATGTGGTTCAATGGAAGAATTGATGAGTTTTAGAAATGTATTTGGTCATTTACATAGAACCCGTTTGAATGGACTTTTGAAAAATGTAATTTTTATGCATTGTTTAATTTAAAAGAGCTTTTTACAAAAACTAAAGCTTTTGAAAAAAAAAATTGACTTTTAACTTCTAATTTTTTTAGAAACTAAAATTTAGTTTAGAAAAAAAAAAAAAACAATTTTAGCTTAAGCTGATATTCAAACGGACTTTGTAGTATAAATATTTTTTTTCTCAAGAAAAACAGCTTTTGGCTATAAAAAAAAACCATTGCTAGTTCAATCTCATGCAGCTTATGCTTATGATAGATTATGTGAAGCATCACATTTATTTTCAAGCACCTGAAGACTGAAAATCCAAATTAGCTACGTCTAATAACTCATCACATGTTGAGAAGAAAACCACACTGCAGATGCAAAGCCTCAAAGCATATTTAAAACATCCAATATACAATCTCAACTATTCTAGCAAAACGAAAATTCCAACTATGGCAACAATTGAACCCTGGCCAGCCACAGTTATTGTCATTATGTCACAATGGAGCTGTAACCGTGAGCATGCAGCATACAACCATGAGCAGAGTTGTTTTGCACAGTTCCTTGTATTTTTGCTGATTAGGAAAGGCATATGAATGAATAACTTGACCCAGTAAACAGCAATGCACAAACGACTCAAGGTGAACCTGACACTCCAGGGAAGAGTTCTGATATTTTATTGAAGACATCCATAACCTGGTATGTTAATAAGAAAAAGCAATTATCACATACAAGAGCCAAATACTCATAAGGAATTATTATAGCTATACTCATTAGAAACATAGTAAAACGCACATAAATTCAAAAGATTCCTATTAAAAGCCCCTTTTCCTGCATTAATTCATAAAGTATAAAGAGCATTCATGCCACCTGTAAGAACTTCAACTAGAATCTATCACTCACTCACTAAAAGATTATTTGTTTTGTCCATATGTTGTTATTGATTAAATTTATTGAATCTAGAATATTCAACAACTTTTAACAAGCTAAAATTAGGTAGCAAAATATGTGACTACTTTTCTTTAGATAACCCTGATTGGATGAATAAGATCTGAACCTAACATAAACCTGAAACTAACTACAAACTAGACCACAAATTAGGATTTAATGGTAGATAATGGAAAAGAGAACCTAATAACGACAAACGCCCAACAAGAAACATAGGGAGAAAAAACCGAATCCTACAAAGCACATGCTACCAAGAAAGACAAAATTGAAGTCAAAGAAGTATCAGCATACCTCCTTATCATTTTGATATTTAGCAATATTCAGCGGATTCTGTGAACACTGCAACCAGAAGAAGATACAATCAGATTTTTGATATGAAATAATAATAAAGTATTTATTTAAATTAGAACATACATCCATGATAGCTGCTTGAACTTTAGGATTTTGAAATGCCATCGCAACTTCAGGATTGGCCATAATCTTTGAAATGACTTCTTCTGGAGAAAGCCCAATTTGATCTGATGAAAGTAAAAATGTAAAATGTTCAACAAAAACAAAGACCAAAGGAGAAAGTGGGAAGAAGGATTCATACAAGCATTAACAACGTCTAAGGGAAATGTACAAGGTGATATTATCGAAGACTTAAATCATGCGTAGCTTCTAAAATTCAATAAACAAAACCTAGAGACAAGAAAACTAATGATGTCAACTAGCATATAAAGATAAATCAGTCAGTAAAGACTAGCAAACCATGTCAATGAGTCAAAAAGAATGCTGATTCACACACCAAATACTAATCTTTATTAAAATTAGCATGAACTGTGATGTGTTTCCAAATGAGAACAGGGCTAACAAGTCATTATTCATCATGTGTGGGCATCCTCCACGGAGAAAGGAAAAAAGTGAATCATCATTCATCACCAAACCTCTCAGCTTTCACTTTTAATGGGACTGGAAAAGGCATTTACTAGTTCACTGAAAATTCTTATTCCGAACAAATATCAGTATCACACCAGAAAGCAGAAAAATAATTGCGGGTTGAGTACTAAACAGATAAGATGGACTCAAACTAAGGAAACAAGCTATGAATAAAGACAAAATTATTGGCCCATATATGATTCAACATAAGAAAAAATAGATGATCACTTAGCATTGATCTTCAAGACGATCATGGTGATCAACTAAGTAGAGATGGAACCAGGAAAACAGATGATTGTATTAAGAATATTTTAAAGTCAGCAAATAATAAGAGTAGCGAGCAAAATTGAGATATGATAATGCAATCACTTGCTTAATGAATCCAGCTCCCAAAGAAAACAATGTCTTAAAAATATGTGAGGCATAACAACAAAAACTTACCAAATTGTTGCTTAACTTCAGGACTGTTAAGGTCAAAATTTTTTAATGTGTCCATCATTCGGCTGTCCCATTCATTGCTTCCACTCATGTTGTTTCTGAAATCAAACATGAAGAAGAAAAGAGAGGATATTTGAATCTTTACACACCAGAGATGATTGTACACCATTATATTAACAACATAATCATAGATTTATCTAACTGCAGTAGTGAACTGCAGCACATAGGATGAAATTTGAGAGAGTACTTTAGTTCTCAAGTCAATGTAATGACATAGAATGCAGTCCTTAGTAAACTCTTAACATGTGAGCACTTGTCTAAATCAACAGAAAGCTAAAATATAAATCAATCTAAATAGTGCCACAGGGAGACAGAGAAAGAGAAGAAACTTAAGACAACAGCGAAGTCTGGAGCTAAGAACAGGCATTTCCCAACATAGGCTGGATGGAATGTTAGTGTACAAAAGCAGAAGGAAGAGGGTCATTTCCTCCATGACCACCATTTTTCCTAATTCAAATGGAGGTCTCTAATGGGTAATGGATAAACAAAGAGAATCAGATTTAATTGTTATTTCATCAAATTCACCAAATGAGAGGCCAATAACTTAATAGTGTTGAAAAACCTTAGCAAAATGGCCCACAAAAAGCAGAGGCTAACCACCAACTGTACTTGAGTGGAAATTCCGAGCTAGATGCCAGAAAATAATGACTTTTAAACGAGGAAATCATTGTCCTGCTTTGTAAAATTTTCCATTCACTAGAAACTAAGGTGTCTTTTTTTTTTTTTTTTTCAGCTAATATGTTTTCACTTATAATTACATAAATATCACCATATTTTCACTTTGTTTCGTGTTTTGATGATTTTGTGAAAGGAAATGCAGGAATAAATCTTAGGTGCATCTATTGTACCTAGATTCGATGCATCCCATCAATGAGAGCATTACACATCAGAGGAGAGAGAAAAAATTTGACAGAGAAAAATGAATTTTGGCTTACATGTAATGTTTCCATTGATGGGATGCACTGAATCTTTGGTGCAACAGTAGCACCAAAGATTTATTCGAAATGCAGAAAACAATAACAGAAAATAAAGTAAAAACAAAGTGGCATGTTTGTAATAGTCATGCACCAACTATCTCAAATGCTTAAGGCAAATGGATGGTTTTATATGACATCTATAACACCCCCTCTCATGCAAGAGCCCTTTGGCCTTTAAGTGTTCAACCAACCTACCTAGTGCAGAAATTCAACTTTTTATTAAAAGAATGGGGGCAACAAGAAACGAATTCTAAGCCACTTGGTCATAAAGGCTCTAATATCATGTCAACGACGAACTATCCCAAAAAGCTTAAGCAATTAAGTAAAGACACATGAATGGTTTAACATGTCTTCTCACAAAATAGTTCATAGGGCTTGATGTGTGAACAATGCACAGACCCATGTACCTTCTAAAATTCAACTTTTATTAAAGAATGGGAGTAGCAAAGATTGAACTCTAAACCACTTGGTCGTAAAGGCTCTAGTACCATGTTAAAAACCAACTATCCCTAAAGTTTAACCTATTAGGTGAAGATACATGAATTTTTTTTTTTACTATAACTCTTAGCACTAATTATTAGTGAAAACATATCAACGGAAAAAATATAAACCAAACCAAAAGCACCCTAGTTTTTGTTGAAATGGGTCAAACAAGATTGCATTTTCCCCTAAAAGCTTTTCCAATGGTGTATGAGAATGTTGGTGCAATAAAAAAGGCTCTTAAGTGACAGTATAATGAACTTACAGCATATCTTCAAGTTGTTGACGGTACTGCGGATTCTGCAGCATCCCTATTAAAAGCAGCAACAGTACAGTAATTAATGTCATGTAAGGGATGTGCTTCCATTATATGTATTTGTAACAAAAAAAAAACACATCCATATAAAAATGTTTTATATAGACAAAATAGTACATGTGAATAAAAAGTGACAACAAGCATATTCAGCATTGTGGTCACATATGATTTACTTCCAGGAAGGTGCCCAACAGTGAAAATTACAGTCTGCACAATATATTGATGAATCTTAAAACATTGATTAGCACTACATCGAACCAGAAGCCAGAAAATTGTTAAAAGTAGAGAATTACATTTGAAGGTAGTAGGGTTCCTCATCTCCTCAGGTAAATAGCTGCAACAGTACCAAAAAATAATTAACTTTCTTTTGGATAATAAGGGAGAAAAGTTTTAAATAATCTAAACAAGCATGTAAATGATATCTGTAAATTTTAATCAAGTAATCACAATGCACAACACACTGAGCATCAGCTTACTGTGAGACAATATGATGCACTTAAGTCACCATAAATTATTATAACTGCAGACGTTCTAGTTTTAAAGCTTTTTATGGATTTTAATAATTGCAGACGTTTCAGTTTGCATGACTTTATGTTTTGTTTATAGTTATTTCCGTTTTGTATCAGTTTTTAAGACCATTGATAGTCCTTTGTTGTCAGTTACTTTTTGTATTGCCTTTAAAAGGCTGGTTAGAAGGATGTGAGGAAAGACTTTTGATAATTGAAGAACGATAATATAGCAGAAAACTTCTGCATTTTCCTGAAAGCCTACTTTCCATATAATTTTGCATCATTTGGTATCAGAGCTCAGGTTGCCTTAAGATGGCTGAGCAGGAAAATCGCGAAGGTCGTGGTCGTGGACGAAGAGGTCGTGGCGGCAGACGCGGTCAACCTACCGATGGTGATTATTATACTGATGCGAGAGATGCTGAAATTGAGGAAAAGGACAGACGGATCCAAGAACTCGAACAACTGCTTGCAGAGGCACAGTTGCACGAGTCAGATGAAAGATGGGAATCTGAAAGATCATCTCATGAGGAGGAAAGGAGATTATGGAACCGAAACCAGGAGCGACGAGGACGAAGTCAACCTGGAAATCAATCCTTTTTTGCTAATATTGAGGTGAAGATTGAGATCCCGGAATTCGAAGGCACTACTCATCCAGATGAGTTTATCGACGAATCACACACCGTCGAAAAGGTCTTTGACATCATAGACTTGACAGAAGACCAGAAGGTCCCAATCTACGATGAATATGATGAAGGCAAGATGATGAGAATCCTGTTATGGATGCTCCAATTTATGACAAGTTCCCTATCTATGATAAGTATGATTGGGAGCAAGACGACGAGAATCCAGAGGTGAAAGAAATCTCTTGTAGTGATTCTGATGGGAAGTCAATTATTAGAAATTCTAATATCTCTAACAGAGATGAAGTTCTCCCCAAAGATATCATGCAGAATGATCCTTCATCCAAGAAGTCTTTAGTTTGCAAGCAGTATTATGAATTTGGGGACAACGAGCATAACAACCTTATGCTCCATGGAGATAAAGATTTACCTTTTGGTAAAAGTTTAATTGGAGATCGTCAAAGGCAATGGGACTTGCTGGTACATCAGACAAAGTTTTCCTATGACGGATCACTGATGCGATCATTGATCCAAACTACAAATGAATATACCAAGCATGTCAAAGAATTGCATTTCCAAGTCCTAATCTTAATTAGGAAATTTGGTGATATTGTACCAGAAGAGTTGCCGCCTGGATTACCACCTGAGGACGTTGCAGATTCGAGGGCGAATCTTTCCCTAGTGGGAGAGTATGATGCACTTAAGTCACCATAAATTATTATAACTGCAGACGTTTTAGTTTTAAAGCTTTTTATGGATTTTAATAATTGCAGACGTTTCAGTTTGCATGACTTTATGTTTTGTTTATAGTTATTTCCGTTTTGTATCAGTTTTTAAGACCATTGATAGTCCTTTGTTGTCAGTTACTTTTTGTATTGCCTTTAAAAGGCTGGTTAGAAGGATGTGAGGAAAGACTTTTGATAATTGAAGAATGATAATATAGCAGAAAACTTCTGCATTTTCCTGAAAGCCTACTTTCCATATAATTTTGCATCACAATAAGAATCAGAAAGAGAATCAAAACTACCTCTACTCGTTGATCAACAATTAAAAGTATAGCAGGCAGCAGCAAACCAGTTACACTTTCTTTTGGGGATAAAGGATGTTTATTAGAAAGGAAAGGAAAGAGTAAAGAAGCAGAGGTATCACATCCAGTAGAACTTTAGACACATCCAAACTTCCAAGTAGTTCAATAGGAATTGTTAGAATATTAGATATGATATGATTAGATATGATTAGATATGATTGGATTCCGTCTTATCCGTAAATATTCTGACTGTATTAGGATTAGGTTTGGGCCTGTCACTTAAGCCCATTAGGGTCTCTATATATTGTAACTCTCTGACACAGATCAATACACAACATATTATTTTATATTCAAGTTGGTACCAGAGCTCTTTCGTTCTGGGAACTCTCGCTTCCGCTTAGAAACCTTGTTTTTTGCTTTAAAACCTAAGCCCACTGCTTAGGAGCCCTCTTTCTTGCCGTGCGTCCTTCCGGCAAGCCTTCTAGGGCTGTAAACAGCCTCTGAGTGATTTTTCCAAACGCGTCGGCACCTCCGACGGCCACCGGAACCACCGCCCGCCGTCAGAATCACTGTTCAGGCAACCAGATACTTTTTCCGGCGACTTTTCCGACCAAACTTCACGCGATCAGGACCCTCTCTTCCCGGCGACCAGGTCTGTGGTGGTCCGGTCAGCAACGCATCTCCCACGCGCCGTCACGCGCCACCTGTCTTCTCTGCGCGTGGGCTTCACGCGCCACCTTCTGCCGGCGCGTGAGCACTATTCCGGCGGATTTTTCCGGCCGGTCTTGGACAGAGAAGCTCGCCTTCTCCTCCCCTTTTTGGATCTGTGATTGTTTCTCTGTGGGTCTGACCTTAGACGCGTGGTTCTTCTTGATTGGATATCATTTGCCTTCGTTTACGGCTTTTATATTTTATCTTTAAATGGCAGCAGCATCTCCTGATCTCTCGGAGGTTAACTCTCCTTCTATTGTTGCAAATATAGCTCAGTCAGACAATGCATCATTTGGTTCAGGTTCGGACTATGCTGCACTCCAAACCCCTCTCAGGAAGGCTTCTCCTCAGTCTCAGCCTTATACTGGTAATCTCGTTGCTTGTGTTTCTCATTCTACATCACTTGGCACTTGGATATTTGACTCTGGTGCTACCGATCATCTCTGTGGTAATAAGGAACTCTTTACATCTCTTACTTATTCTGATCATTTACCGTCTTTTACCCTTGCGGATGGAACCAAAGCCCCAGTTCGTGGGACTGGACAAGCTCGTCCGACCTCTACCTTGGCCCTGACATCTGTCTATTACATTCCTGGCATCCCTTATAACTTAATTTCTATTAGTAAGTTGATCCACTCCCTCACTTGCGCCATTACTTTCTCTAACCATTCTGTTTCTGTGCAGGATCCGGGTACGGGGAAAATGATTGGAGTGGGTCGTGAGTCACGGGGGCTTTATTATCTGGATGTGCCTCGTCCTTCAGTAGCATGCTCTCTCACAGAATCTCCACAACTTATCCACAGTCGCCTTGGTCATCCAAGTCTTTCAAAGTTGCAGAAAATAGTTCCTCTTTTGTCCGGTCTTCAGTCTTTAGATTGTGTGTCATGTCAACAAGGGAAGCATACACGCTCCTCTTTTGCCAGTCGAGTCAATAAAAGAGCTGATGCCCCTTTCTCTCTTGTTCATTCAGATATCTGGGGTCCAAGTCGTACCTTGCCTGTCTTAGGTTTTCGGTATTTCGTTACCTTTATTGATGATTTTTCTCGTTGCACTTGGACCTATTTAATGAAAAATCGTTCTGAGTTATTTTCCATTTATAAAAAGTTTTCTACTGAGATCCATACTCAATTTGGTGTTTCTATTCGTATTCTACGTAGTTATAATGCTAAGGAATATGTTTCTATTGATTTTTCTAATTTCTTGGCCACACAAGGTACTTTATATCAAACTACTTGTCCTCACACTCCACAACAAAATGGGGTGGCTGAACGTAAAAACAGACATCTCATTGAAACTGCCCGTACCCTTCTTATTCATATGCAGGTTCCCCTTCACTTCTGGGCAGATGTTGTACTCATCTCTTGTTTTCTCATCAATCGCATGCCTTCATCTGTGCTCCACAATGACATTCCTCATAATCTATTGCTTCCAGATGTTCCTCTTTATCCTCTAACTCCACATGTCTTTGGTTGTACTTGTTTTGTTCATGATCTCACTCCTGGTAAGGATAAGTGAACATCCAAAGCCTTTCAGTGTATCTTTCTTGGTTATTCTCGTCTTCAAAAGGGTTATCGTTGTTATTCTCCCGACCTTAAGCGTTACTTAGTTTCCGCTGATGTCACTTTTCTTGATCAACAACCCTTTAATTCTATCCCATCTCAGATGTCACAGGTTGATCATGTACTTCCTGTCCCTTTTCTTGACTTGTCTTTGCCAGTTGCAGGTGCTTCTATTCCAGATGAGCAACCTATTGCTTCTATACCTAAGGACCGTCCACTTCTCACCTATCAGCGTCGCAAAACTGTGCCTCCTGTCGACTCGACTCTTGCTGACTCATCGCCCACTGCTGTTGCTTCTTCCCCTCCGGATCCTTCATCAGAGACTCTTCCCATTGCTCAAAGAAAAGGTACACGTACTACTCGTAACCCTTATCCTCTTTATACCTTTTTGAGTTATGACCGTCTTTCTTCACCTCATTTCACCTTTGTTTCTAGTCTTTCTTCTATTTCTATTCCTAAGACCACAGGTGAAGCACTTTCCCATCCAGGGTGGCGCCAAGCAATGCTTGATGAGATGACTGCACTACATTCCAATGGCACTTGGGACCTTGTTTCTGCTCCTCCAGAGAAGTCTATAGTTGGTTGTCGCTGGATTTTTACTGTGAAAGTTGGACCTGATGGCCATATTGATCGTCTCAAGGCACGTTTAGTTGCCAAGGGTTTTACTCAAATCTTTGGCCTTGATTATAGCGATACATTTTCTCCGGTCGCTAAGATGGCGTCAGTCCGCCTCTTTCTTGCCCTTGCTGCTGTTCGTCACTGGCCACTCCTTCAACTTGACATCAAAAATGCCTTTCTTCATGGTGATTTACAAGAAGAAGTTTACATGGAGCAACCACCTGGTTTTGTTGCTCAGGGGGAGTCTGGAAAGGTGTGTCGTCTTCGGAAATCCTTATATGGTCTGAAGCAGTCTCCTCGAGCATGGTTCAGTCGCTTCAGTTCTGCTGTTCAGGCGTTTGGCTTAATCCGCAGTAAAGTTGACCATTCTGTGTTTTATAGGATTACATCTCCTGATAAGTGTATCTATTTGTTAGTCTATGTTGACGACATCATTCTCACCGAAAGTGATCAAGACGGAATTCATCAGTTAAAACAGCATTTGTTTAGTACATTTCAAACAAAGGACCTTGGGAAGCTGCGTTACTTCTTGGGAATTGAGGTGGCGCAATCCAGACAGGGCATTTCTATCTGTCAAAGGAAATATGCCTTGGATATCCTAGAAGAAACTGGTATGTTGGGGAGTAAACCAGTTGATACACCTATGGATCCTAATGTCAAGTTATTGCCCGGACAGGGGGAGCCGTTATATGATCCTGGACGTTATCGGAGGCTAATTGGGAAGCTCAACTATCTTACTGTGACTAGGCCAGATATTTCTTTCGCTGTTAGTACGGCTAGTCAGTTTCTTGATTCCCCTTGTGATTCACATTGGGATGCTGCTGTGAGGATCCTCCGATACATCAAAGGAGCACCAGGAAAAGGTTTGTTGTATTCAGATCAGGGAAATATAGAAATTTGTGGTTATTCAGATGCTGATTGGGCAGGATCACCTTCGGACAGGCGCTCTACTTCTGGCTACTGTGTCTTCTTTGGAGGAAACTTAATTTCGTGGAAGAGCAAGAAACAACCTGTTGTTGCTCGATCTAGTGCAGAAGCTGAGTATCGTGCAATGGCAAATGCTACCTGTGAGTTAGTCTGGTTGAAGCAGTTGATTCAGGAGCTTCATCTTTGTGAACAGAAACAACCCATGACACTCATCTGTGATAATCAAGTTGCGCTACATATATCCTCTAATCCTGTCTTTCATGAGAGGACCAAACATATAGAGATTGATTGTCACTTCATTCGAGAAAAGATTCAGTCAAGAGAAATCAAGACTGCTTTCGTCAACTCCTCTGATCAACTAGCGGATGTTTTCACTAAAGCTCTTAGAGGTCCTCGGGTTGAATACATTTGTAACAAGCTTGGTGCTCATAATATATACGCACCAGCTTGAGGGGGAGTGTTAGAATATTAGATATGATTAGATATGATTGGATTCCGTCTTATCCGTAAATATTCTGACTGTATTCTGACTATATTAGGATTAGGTTTGGGCCTGTCACTTAAGCCCATTAGGGTCTCTATATATTGTAACTCTCTGACACAGATCAATACACAACATATTATTTTATATTCAAGTGGAATAAACAAATAATGGAATTACTTCAAAATCCAAATCAGATATCACAGGTACTTACTAGCACTACTTCATCAGCATTTCTAAGATCAGACTGAAATACTGAACACTTCTACCGTTTAAGGAACCTTTTTCAATAATTTAAAACTAGGATCTACTAAAGCCTCAAAAGTTATTCATATTCATACTGACAAAGCCAAAATGAAATACCTAATTTAAAACTAGGATCTACTAAAGCCTCAAAAGTTATTCATATTCATACTGACAAAGCCAAAATGAAATATTTACTAGAAATCATAATCATTATTAAGATGAAAGGAACTAATATTACGGATAAACCATCTTCTGCACTGTTGGGTCTTCCATCATTTTCTCCAAAGCTTCCACTGATAAGCCTGATTTTCCTATCCAAAATTAAACAAGGGCACATTAAGGACATTTGGTTAATCCAGACAGCAGCTCATTAAGGCAACATTGAAAGAACAATATAAAAACAATATATGTTTTGTGATAATAAACAAGGTGAAATGAATTTCAACCTATAGTATCAATGTGGTTGGAACAATAAGTCATGGAACTATTCATATTTGATTAATAACATCATTTCAACCCAAGGCTTGACTTATAAGAGTCAAAAAGTAAATGATAGTTGACAAGAAAGATTCAAAAGTACAAAGACACATGAAGTTCGCATGATCCATTATAAAGTCAACAATGATAACAAGATTAAAGTCATTAAACCAATATTTACAATCATAATAACAAGAAGAACAACTCATATATTGACAGCACTGGTCTAAAACCATGACAAAGCATTTTCTTGAAATTGATGCTTGAATATATGTATCACAGAGTAAACAGGGTTTTCAGCAATAAAGCAGAATTGTAAATATTTTCGATTTCAACTGACTCTTTGCTTACCTGTAGATTGAGAACCCAGTGAATCACCAAAACCTTGGTTAGAGGGAGCTCCGTTTTGAGATGCCTTCAATAAATGCTCATCATTATTACATATTAAGAACAACAGAAATCGGTAAACTTTAGCAAAAAATTGTATCTTAAAAAAACTCACTTCCTCTGGAACCCGGGCTTCCTTGAATGAACTATATTCATCAACATCTTTAAAATTTTCAAAAGGACTCTTCTGCACAGTTTCTTCTGGAGAAACATCTACAAAAGCTGTAATAGAAAGTTGATTAAGATAACTGCCTGAACATTATTTTATCTTCATTGTTTGTCGCAAAAATTTCAAAAACTCCTTTTATCTAGATTAATATTTTTGGATTATTTAATAAAGGTGTTGATGTTGATTTAATAAAGGAAATGAAGATACAAATGTCATTAATTATTTCAAATATTTTGCATACAGAACAGTTTCAAACAGTTGAGCTTCTGCTTTCGGTTTCTAATTTCCATTTTTTTCTCATTCTTAACTTCTTGCTTTCTATTTGTCAATATTACCCGAATTTCTACATTGTTTTAGTTCCTGCATACACGATTAGTGTGGGCCCACTCTCTAGTTTGTCATAATTCATAACAGTAAATTGCCATTGAAAGTCGCTAAAAAAACTGGGGGCCAGCAAACTAGCATGGGAGCAAGGTTGAGCAAATAATAGGGATACATACACTAGTGACTCCCAGATGCTACTAGAATAAGGATGCTAGAAGAAAATTCATGTGAAGTCTAGTGAAGCATTCTATGGCATGCTAAACCAGTTAACAGCTGTTTAGGGAGTGCTCGCTAGGGAAGCCAGTGAACAGCATTCTATTCTATTATTGTAGGCTGAACCAGTTGACAACATTCTTTGAAAGACTCCATGAGAGGGAAGAAGAGGAAAAAATAGGGGGGGGACGGACTTTGATCTGAGTTCAGCATACCAATTTCCCTTAATTTGTCTAACACATCAGTGGAGTTATATCAATCAGAACTGTGATCCAGCTTGAAAGCTAAAAAGAAATAATGACTGTATTAAATCCAAAAACCAGGAAGAAATGTAAAATAGAAGAGCTAGGGCACGACTTTTACTTAATTTACCAAAAACCGCAGATACATCTCCTAGTGACACATAAACTCAACATTTACAAATTTCGCAAGTAGTATGTCTCACCCAACAAGAAAGAAATCGTAGTGCAAAGCAGATATTGTATGTTACCAATTTTTTTTGGTTCGTTCTTTACTTCCACTTCATCTTCAACATTGGTAGCTGGGGTTGCTTCTACTTTTGTTGCAGATACATCTACTGTGACAGCAGATTGAGATACACTTGCTGTGGAAGGTGCTCGAGATTGAGTACCTGCAGAACTAGTAGGTGCAGCAGGCCCTGATGCTGACGGCATCGAAAAGGGAAAAGGAGATCCAGGAGAAAAGGCAGCACTGTCAAATGGGTTACTTTGTGAATTCATCTGGCCCATCAAGGTCTTGAAAGCTTGTTGCATTGCATATTTCTGAAAGAAGATTAAAAGACAAATGTTAAAAGTATATAAAATTCTCAAGGTTAGTTCTTATAATTCTATACAGAATCCAGTCTCAATCCATGAAAAATAAAGCTAGACAGGGAGGGCATCTACTATAACTGACACAGAAATACAAATAATGAAAAATGACATCACAAGCAATACCCATGCTCTCATGAAGATAAATCAAAATGTCAAATTCAATAAAACTCTCAGAATGTTTTATACATATTATTAGAGATATATAAAACCATTAAGGTAGTTTCACCCAACAGCTTAAGCTTTTGGGTTGAATTGGTTATTTACATGGTATCAGAGCTTCAGTGACCACAAGGTCACGAGTTCAATCCTCAACCCCCCCCCCCCCCCCCAAACACTTTCTAGTAGAATTAAAATAAGCACAAGGTAAACCAAAAATTGGGTCTGTGTAATATCTACGCTTCAAGCCCAAAGGGCTCTTGCGTGAGGGGATGTGTTAGAGAATAATATAAACCATTAAAAAGGTCTTCACCCAATACTTTAAGGTTTTGGATTGAAATGGTTCTTTACATATGTTAAGATTCCAAAAAAAAAAAAAAGAGTACATTATAAGCAATGTAAATTATATGCAACAAGCATAATATAATTATCGACTGTGGGATGCGGCTGGTAGGGGCCAACCCCAAAAATACTATAGCAGTTTTAAAAGCCAATATATAATTTAAGCATCTGCAAATATCCCAATCCCCATAAATCAGGAAGAAAGACAAGGTGTTCAACTGCAGCAAAAACCTAGAGTTCCTTTTACAAAAATTGAAGGTATACCTTAGTTCCTAAAAATAGATACAGCCGATCTGCATATTTTTTGTGCCTGTTTCTAGAAGTGCAGACAACAATTCTGCGACTACATGCCTTTCAACTTCCATGTACTTTAATAAGAAATCCATCATAAAGACTCATACAAGAAAAACACGGACACTTCGGATACTCATAGCAAATTTTATAATTTTCATACTTTTAATTTCAGAATTTTATAATAAATTATAGCTTTTATATCTACAATGACTCATGCATGCTAACTTTTAAAACATAGATTCTCTCTTTTAATTTCAGATTTTGGTTTTTATATGTTGTACCCAAGTTGTCTTGTGTCCTATCATTTTTAAAATTTTACAGCATCCCCGTGTCTGTTGCTTCATATCGGCTCTGTCTCTCATATCATATCTGTGCTACTGCTATCATTTCTAGAGAATCTATATCACCAGAAGAAGTACCATAGCAAAGAAAATCATAAGGCATGGTTCAGAAAAATAGTTAAGTAAAAATAAAACAGTCATACACACAAATGTGAGATAGATTTATCAGATTATCATTCAATTTATAATTATCACTTCTTATTAGCAAAGACTAAATTACTGATTTATCTGGAATACATACACATACACACATAGGGGGACCGGGGGGTGTCATGTCTTCTGAGAGGAGTGATTTATTGTAAGAGGTAAGAGGAGCAAATATTGACCATTAAACCAAACTGTACATGTATGGTCAAGATTAAAAGTTATTTGAAGGTCATATGATTACTTAAAAAATACCACATGACTTTGAATTCTAATATTGACCATTAACGTAAGATCTAATGTTAAAGATTTGCTACTCTTATTCTCACGTTAAACCACTCCTCCACCTTTATATGTTCCCTATATCTTACAGTGGAACTCAAAGAACGCACCAGCTTATACCCATGACTTGCAATAAAGTGGCACTCACCTTTAATCTTGCAGCTACCTGCAAAAACGCCCAATTTATTAAACATACAGCAAAGAAAAACCTCATCATCAGTATATGTAAAGCAGAGTGGTGGCTATGGTTCTCACCAGTGAAAATAGTGCAGAAAGCCCAACACCAACACCAATCCAGAAGAGAGGTGACCCTCTAGAAATATAGTGAATAGATAAATAACAATGTGAACATATACACAAAAGATATCAACAAATTTAAATAAATCTGCTAAAAATCCCCCTCCCCCTCCCCCTCGAAGAAGCTGACCATCATAAAAACATGAGAAAAAACAATTAAAAGAAAATTAAAATGTGAAAGGAAAAACAGTAAATTATTACATGCTCGAAGACGGAGGTGGTGACAATTGTGGGTTAACTCCAATTGATGTTGTTTCTTGACTACTTGAAGAAGAAATGCTAGCAAAATGCTTCATTATCAGCTTCTCCTGCACTGTATCCCCAGTATGTATTACTTGTGCATCTCAAGAAATGAGTGGAAATATTGACAGATATTCAACTTGTAGGGCAAGTAGTCATTAATCACAAAAGAAGAGAAGGGGAAACGATATTCATGACAAATATGCATTGCCAATACGAAAAACAAATACACAGACATGCAATGCAATTTTAACCAAGGATTCAAAGAGCTACCAGCAAGGGGGCGAACCGGAGCAGTGGTAAAACTGTTCCTTCATGACTGAAAGGTCATGGGTTTGAATCCAGGAAACAGCCTCTTTGCAATTATGCAAAAGTAAGACTGCGTACAAGGATTTCCTCCACCCTACACTCGTTAGTCGGGTTCAACGGAGAGTGGTTTTTTTTTGTTTTTTATTCAAAGAGCTACCAGCATTAACCAACCTCGAGCACAACCTCTACTCCAAAATTCACTATACACCCCTTTCCACAAACACTAGATACTAATTGTAGAACTAATTACAAATATGTTTTTCTGATTTATGAAAACCTAAACCCTCGAAAATCTCAATATAGTGTACACACAGTTCTATTTTCACTATTTAGTCATTAGACTGTTCTGTGTTTCCATTCCAATAATCAACATGTTCAATTCAGTTAAAAAAAACAGCAATAGCATCATTACACCTATTCATTCAGGTTCAGCTTCAAATTCAATAATATACATTTCACTCTACACCATCACAACCCAGTGACTCCTTTTTCTGCTAAGTATAACTTCTAAAAATAAATAAATAAAGATAATTCCCAAAAAAAAAAAAAAACACATAAACAGAAGAGAATAATCAAACAAAAAAGAGACATAGTTTCAGAAATAAATACCAGATTTTGGGTTTTGTTGGGATTTAGCTTCAGCCCCATTAACATGAGAGGGGGAGAGAGCAGAAACACGGTATCTGGAATGGGAAGGAGCAACTAAGACCCTCCCAAAAGAGAAGGGTTTTCTTCTGAAGACATCTCTAGCAGTGGCATCTCTTGCAGAAAAATGTCCCAACAGCAAAGGTTTCGGGGAGGAAACAAGGGCTAAGTTAAGGTTCTCCATCTTCTTTTGGAACCCAAAAACAAAAACAAAAACAAAAAAAAAACAAAAAAACAGAGAGATTGAGAAGAATAAATGGATTGAAACTATAGAAATCAAAAGGGGAAGAACTAGTAGTGAATTTTGAAAGTAAAAGGGGGTCGAAATTTATGGGAAATTTAAGAACTTTAACACACTTCACTATCTGGGATTTCAACTTTGGGTTCAGCGAAGTGAAGAAGCGGCTTACAACACAGTGTCCTTGTTTTTGTTGCCGTAGGGATAAGTGAAAAACCTCAAACCTTGACAATATTTTTTAATATTATTTATTTTACTGAAGTTGTATTTTGTACATGGAATATACGATTAGTTATAAAATATTCTTTTAATATTATTTGAGAGAAAGTTGAATTTTATAAATATAATATCGGTTTTTTTTTTTTTTAACGTTACTTTCACCGAAACAAAAAATTTTAGGGTAGAAATTATAGTATATTTGTAATTTTAATTTATTTTAAAATTAAAATAGTCTTTATTATTTTAATTTTTTCACTCAAAAATATTGTTTTTGTAAATATTAGAAAAAAAATTCTAAAGTAATATTAGATTTTTTTTTGTAATAATATTAGATACTTTATTCCAATATAATATATGAGAAAAACTATACCTTTGATAATTGTGCAGTTTTTTTTTTTTTTCAGGTGGTGGGACTCATATATTTATATTTATGACATGAAACAACTTATCTCATTTAACATAAAATTAATAACACTCATAATTTATGTTTTTTTTCATATCAATTTTATCCACTTCTCTCCCTAAAATAAACATAATATATCTCATAATATACACATGCAAATTTAATTTTTTTAACAAAAATTAATTAGGTCATATTCCTAATATTCTATTTACTCAAATTTAATTTTTATTGAAAAATTAGATAAGTCATATATATTATATGAAAGTATGTCATACTTTATTTTTTAAAATTAGATAAGTCATTTTTTTAAATGTAACTTACTTAATTTTAATTTAAAATATTTAAAAGATAAAATTTACTTTTTTGTAATGAGTTGAGTTGTAGCTTAATTTTAATTTAGAAACGTAATATTTTGCCAAAAAAAAAAAGAGATTGCAATATTAATTTTTATGAAAAAATATGTGTCCTATTAAAAATATATAGAGTTATATCGTTTTAGCAGAGAGAAATAATTAAATTAATATTTTTTATTAAAATTTAAATTAAAAACACATACTTTCTCTCGCATAGTTTTAATTGTTTGTACCTTTTTCTTTCCTAAAATGACATAACTCTGATAAGCATTAAACCTTATTTTTATTGGGATCGTTTATAATTTATCTACATTGAGCCCAAAACGACGTAGTTTTAAGGCAGAAATCACGGTATTTTTGTAATTATAATTTATTTCAGAGTTATAATATATTTTCATTATAGTTTTTTAATTTTTCAATTCAAAACGATGTCATTTTAGGAGCGAATGTAGATAACTTATCTACATTTGCGATATAAACATAAGGAAAAATTTTTCTTATGTTGTAGGAAAGTAGTTACCTCATATTGTAGAAATAAAATTATAAGGGAACCCACAGGTAAGAGGAGATAGAAAAAGAGTGGTAGGACTCATTCCTCTTTTATGTGTGTACAAATTTTTTTTATCTCATATAAAATATGATAAATATAATCTAAACATTAAAGCCACTTTTGTTGGGTAATAGTTTTCTTATGCAACAAGAGATGCGTATTATCTATTTATCTCCTATTGACTCATTTATGCAAATGAGGTCTATTTTTAGGAGGAGAAAAAATAAGTGAAACCCATTTTTATTTTATGTGTGTAGAAAATAAATTATATTTTATGTAACATAAGAATAATAAATCTCTTTTTATTACCATTAAAAGTTACCGTACTTTGAAAACCTGTATTTTAACATCATCTTAAAAACCAGAATAAAAAAATAATAAAAAAAACATTAAATTTATTTTTTAAGAAATCAGATTCCAAACCCAAGAAAAAAGTTACTTATAAGCTAAAGTTAAAAAAAAGAAGCTAAAAGCTGTTTAGAAATACATAAAAAATTTAGTTTAAAAATTACTTAAAACACATATTTCAAGTAAATTATATATCTCTCATTTAAAAAAAAACACAGACAATTCAAGAAAAACAGAGAAGAGCTTAAAGAAACTTTTAGTTTTTAGGTTTTTTTTTTATTATAAAAAAATCTTTATAAAAAAATCTTTTCGTTATAAAAACTTTTTTCAAAATTTATTTAAATTAGTTTATACTTATAAGAAGTTTCTAGTAAAAAAAAAAACAGACAATAGAAACAGGCATTAGTTAACATTAATCATCTGTAACGTTAGTAATAGTATTGTTCCTCTTCATTCTCATATGACTCTGTTCGGTTCCGTTCTTATCCAATGGAACCCATCAGTGTGCAATCCCTAGCCCAATCGGGTCGGGTCCCATCTGAATACATCCAGCCTCCTCAGAACCGACCCGTTCGAAATAACCCACCCGCAACAATTATACCCGATCACGATGTCAACATTCCGGTCATCGACCTCTTCGGGTTCGACCCGAATCTCCGCGATTCGACCCGGGAAGAAATCGGGCGGGCCTTCCGGAAGTGGGGCGCCTTCCACGTCACCAATCACGGTGTTCCGGTTACCCTCCTAGACGCCGTGCGGCGCGTGGGTCTCGCCTTCTTCAATGACTGTCCCATGCCGGAGAAGCTGCGATTCGCCTGTGCCTCCGGCGCCGCCGCGTCGGAGGGGTACGGCAGCCGGATGCTCGTGAGCTCCGATCAGGAACAAAACGATGCCGTCCTCGATTGGAGGGACTACTTCGACCACCACACTCTTCCCCTTTCTCGCCGGAACCCTAATCGGTGGCCCAATTTTCCCTCCGATTACAGGGAATCTGTGGCGAGGTACAGTGATGAGATGAAGGTTCTGGCGCAAAAGTTGCTAGCTTTGATATCAGAGAGTCTTGGGTTGCGAGCGTCGTGCATTGAAGATGCTGTTGGGGAATTCTATCAGAACATAACTATTAGCTATTACCCTCCGTGTCCCCAACCAGACCTCACACTTGGTTTGCAATCACATTCTGATATGGGTGCAATTACCCTTTTGATCCAAGATGATGTGGGTGGTCTTCAGGTTCTGAAAAATGGTGGTTGGGTCACTGTGCAACCCTTGTCAGGTGCTGTTCTTGTTCTCTTGGCTGACCAAACTGAGGTAAACAAAAATACCCCTTTAGAGAAACAAGCTCTGGATTGAGTTACAAGCTCTGGATAATTAGTTCAACATTTCATACATTTGATTTTTGCATTCTGTATTGAGTTTTTTCTATGAAGTAAGCACTTTAGAGAATCTCTGTTGTATTGCTTACTAACTTGAGTTAAATGTCATTAGTGATCCTTAGGTGCACGAATATTAAGTTATTAACCTAATCTAGATGAAACTACTATTCTCATAATACATTCTGCATTTTTAGATATAAGATTGGTATATTAGACTTTAACTCAATTCAAATAAAACTTAAGGCTAGAAATTGTCATACATGATCATCTAATATAGCATACGTTCTTGGTAATCGTTTTAAAAATAAAACACTGTATGTACGTCCTGCGAGCATTCAGGGGGTGTTAGTATTGGTTACTAGGAGAAGAGGGTGGGAGTGGGATATGGGATATTGGTTTTTATTGTGTATTGAACTTGATTTGGACAATAAATTCAACGGGGTAAATTATTGTATTATGTAATATTGCAAGTTGTTTCACTTCAAGGCCAAGGTAAACTGTAAGGAGCAAAAATATATTTGGAAAAGAGATATATTTGTTTTTTGTATAATGGTTAAGAGGAATTGGTAAACATTACACTCTCTCCTTATTCATTAGGTTGCAACGTGGAGTTAAATTGGTACCATTACTACCCCCATCTGTTATGGGGAATAATGTTTCTTCCTGAATTAGAAGCATTGGTTACTTCATTTTGCTTGTAAATATGGTATTCAGTATTCTACAATATGACAGCTTAACAGTGGATTCTGATAACTTGTGACTTCTTTATGTTTTACTGATACCTTATTCATTCATGAAATTGATGTTCGTGACAAGGTTTAATTTGGAGGAAGAGAATGGTGGTTTTGATTTTAACAATAAAAAATAAAAAATCATACAACTTGTCCTCTCATGGAAAATTATTTTGGACCAGATTATAACAAATGGAAAGTACAGGAGCTGTGAGCATAGGGCAATTACAAATCCTGATAGAGCAAGGCTCTCTGTGGCAACATTTCATGACCCAGCTAAGACAGTCAAGATCTCCCCTGCTTCTGAACTGATCAATGAGTCATCACCAGCTAAATACCGCGATGTTGTTTACGGAGACTATGTATTATCTTGGTATACCAAAGGCCCTGAAGGAAAACGAAATATTGATGCACTTCTGCGGCAATCTTAGTGTGTTTTTTTCTCCTGGCCTTATGGCACCACCTGAACTATGGGGGACTTCCTTCCCATCCTCATTTTCTTGTTCTGGTTGACTTTTTATTTCCATTGCTATGAATGTGTTCTTCTTATTGTTTGCTTTAGTTAATGAGGATTCGTTCTTGAGAAGGGTGAAGTTGGTTTCAGATTTATCTGGTTTGAAATTGTTGATGTTGGAAGCGCAACTTATCAGTATGCTTGAAACTGTTGTAACAAAACAAGGAGCAAGAGAATCAAATTATGGTGAATCTGAAATCAATATCACCAATTATCAAGAACTAATCCTTATTAACTAAAGCAACCACAAGGAAACATATGTAGCAATGGAAACCAAAAATCAACAAGAACAAGAAAATGAGAATGGAAAGAAGTCCCATGGATGATTGCTCTCTTAGTTCAGGCGGACAGTGGAGCCATGAGACCAAGAGAAAAAACTCTTAAGATTCCTTATTACGTGTTCAAATGAGCATCAAGATTTTTCTTGGAATGCTGGAGAAAAGGAGGTTCATATCAAAATATACAAGCAACAGTTATGGATAAATGAGAACCTAATTATTGTATTATAGATTATAATTGAGGCAGCTTAAAGATAGCCCAAATAGCTGCATGCAAATTTCATCTTTTTCGGTGCAAGTTCAATAATCAGTATATTGATCTCTTTCTCAGAAAATTATTAGACTTCCAGTTTCTATTGATTTGGTGCTTATTGTTGCCTTGCTAACATTTATGCAAGTAGCGCGCAAG